CCCTAAACACCCAAAAACCCTAAACCCCTAAACCTTAAACCCCTAAATCCTAAAAAACCTAAACCGTCCCTAGACCCTAAACCCTACAACGCCTTAACCCTAAAAACCTGAAAGCCATCCTAGGACCGGCCTCGAAGGTCTCGTCAAAGCCTTGCAAGATGCCGGCAGCCTTCGTCGTTGACAGAAAGGATCTTGGTATGAGGGTTTAGGGTTTAGGATTAGGGATTTAGGGTTGGGGTTTGAGGGTTTAGGATTAGGGATTTAGGGTTGGGGTTTGAGGGTTTAGGGTTTAGGGATTTAGGGTTGGGGTTTAGGGTTTAGGGGGGAAGGTTTCGGGTCTCGGGTATAGGGCTTCTAGCATAAGGGCTTGAGGGGGCTTTATAGGGTCCAAGGGTCGGTTCGGTGCCTCTTTTCAGAGGGTCCTAAGTACTTACATGGCAGAACGTCGGGTTTCTACTAGTATATGGTTTGGGTAATTATCCACCTAAAAACTCAAAAAACACTTAGCACCCTGTGGATCTGCTCCTAATACAGGCTCTATCAGGGTTCCATAGAGGTTTGACGGGGCTCTTTAAGGTCTAAGGGTCGGCTTATAGTGCGTTGTTTGATTTATCCAGAGCCTCCAATATCCCTTAATGAAGGAATATCCCTTGAATCATGTTAGAGATGCTACTATAAATTAAGGTATCTTCGTTACTTGAGGGATCGTGGAGTCTAGCATAATGAAGGCGCCTTGATAATTAGAATAGGGTTTTGTTTTGCTTGTAGTATAATGGGCCCCAAACCCTATTCTAATTATATCAAGGCCCCTATATTACGGCAAGTGTTTCTGAGGCTGCGGCCTCCTGTGGATCCATCCACTCGCCTGCAGCATGCATCAGGGTTCAGGGCTTGCGGTTTAGGTTCAGCATTCAGGTTTAGATTAGCATTTTTCCGAACCCAACAACGCGCCTGTAATTGCGTAGGGTGTCCCTGTAGGGATTGAACAGCTAAACTCCTGAAGCGAAGACGAAAAGGCGTATCAGCCGAGAATAGCGAAAACTCTTAACATTAAACTTAAAACCTAAACCCTACAGCCTACAAGGCAGTAACCCGAAAGGTTCGCATCACTCATGTGTCCTTCCGGATGATGTACATTCCTTCTAATGCCCAGGTAAAGTACTTACTGCCTACTCGGCGAGCCCGATACCGCTTAATGAAATTAAGTCGTTACCTTCCATATCCTTCCATCATGCTATGAATGCTACGAAGCACACTGTTTGTTGACGGGGTGCTTGGGGCCACAAACGTTTGAACCCTCCAAATCCCCGAACTCCTCCAACAAGAACCCAGGGTAAAACCGGCCTTGGTGGCGCACAGCCCAGATCTCTGCGTCCTTGCCGCTTGTTCTCTTATCTGAATCATGAATCTTCATAGGTTCCACGATGGCACCTTAAGGGGTACAGGGCTTTGGGGGGGGGATGCAATCGAATGATCATTTGGGCCGGAGTGAGGCGGAATCATGTTTTAATCACCCGCCCACTTCGAGCGCAACACGCAACCCTAAATCAGAAGCCCTAAGCCACCCTGAAGTCCCCCTTAAGGTCTGCAGAAGCTTTTGTCTTTGTCGAAGCCATCGGACATTGAAACATCTCCTGTACTCAAGCCCTTAACCGCAACACCAGCGAACCTAGACCCTACCCTGAAACCCTAAGTCCAACAGCCCAAAGAAACAACAAAAACAGCACCACCTTAAGCCAGGTCAATATCCTTACAACATGAGCAAAACCCATGGCAAAGACTCTAAACAGAAATGCCTGTTTCATCCTTGTAGAGTCAAGCGTTCCCGGCTACCATATTATCCTGTGCTCTGGGCCAAAAGTACCCTAAACCCTATAACCCCTAAATCGCCTAAACCCTATAAACCCTAAATCGACCCGAAACCCTGAACCCTAAACCCTATAACCCCTCAATCGCCTAAACCCTATAAACCCTAAATCGACCCGAAACCCTGAACCCTAAACCCTAAATCCTAAACCCTAAACCCTAAACCCTGAACCCTAAACCTTGAATCCTGAACCCTGAACCCTAAACCCTAAACCCTAAATCGACCCTAGACGGTCCGGCTCACGATCTGAGACGAAAGAGGTCCCCGTGAGGGCATCGGCAATCCTGCCATTGGAGGCTTCCAAGGTTTAGGGTTTTAGGGTTTAGGGCTTAGGGTTTAGGGGTTTAGGAGGGAGTTTGCGATAAAGTACAAGATATCTTAGTTTGGATAAAAGGATCCTACTGTTTTAGGGTACTATATATTAGGGCCCCTTGAAACGGCACTGTAAAGGGTACCGTGCTGTACGGCTGATGATCTACATCCTGCATAATAAGGAATTAGACCATCATTGAGGTCCTTAAGCTTGAACTTTGGGGGTTTTGAGGATTTGGGCTTAAGCTTTCAAGGCGGGCTTTGGGTTTAGGGTTCAGGGTTAAGGGTTTCGGGTTTAGGGTTTACGATTTTGGGGCTTGGGCTTAAGGGGCTTGAGGGTTTGGGTTGAGAGCCTGGGCAACTTCAGCGTCAGTGCTTCATGTGAAATTGCGCAGGTTGTGCCTTCAGCTCCAAGTCTACATTGGGAACTCAATGTCAAACCTAAACCATACCCTTAGGGTCCATGTACCCAAAGAGTATATACTTTGGCCCGAAAGTACCTATATAGGGACTACTTTAAGGCCAAAGTATATACTATTTGGGCACATGGACCCTTAGGGATATAAACCCTAAACCAAACCCTAAACCCTAATTTGGCTATTTTGGAGCCCGCAGGTCACGGGACTGGGGGGTCAATGTACCTAAAGTAGCTTCCTAAACCCTAAACCCTAAACCCTAAACCCTAAACCCAAGGAACCCCTCTGATGCCTGCATAGAAACTGTTCAAGTACATGGGCCCTAAGCCCTGAACCCGAAAACTTTCTGACAGAAACAACCCGTATGGTTCCCTTCAGACCAGGTTTTAGGGTTTTTTTATGGAACCTTTTCAATATACCCTCAGAGGAACCCTCACAGAACCCTTTAAAGGTACAGGGTTGTAGTTGTTGTTTGTTCAATTCCTTCTCCCGACTGCCTGGGGCTTAGGGTATAGGGATTAAGGCTCATACAGGTTTTGGGGCGTTTAAGGCTGAGAGTGTTTTGGGCGTGGTGAAAATCGGGGGCTTCTAGTGATTTTCGTGCCTCAAGAGAGGGGAGCAGAAACATGACTCTTATAAACATCCGAGGCGCTACGTAAGCAATGCACCTGAACATCGGAATACATAACCCTAAACTGTACCTTAGGGTGCTTCTGTCTTTCCGGCGAGCTTGTCGGAGCAGCCTCTGCAAGTTCCATCTGGCAATCTCCGGCTGCTCACCGAAAGCATACCTGTCCATGGACGTATATTGGCTTGATTCAATTCAGTTTTGTTAAAGTTTTGGCAGCCGCAACACCATTCGAAATGCTGCTTGTAGCCATGCCCGAAACCCTAGGCCTTTAACCTTAAACACTCAGCCTTAAACTCTAAATCCCAAAGCCTCATACACTGAATCCCGAAACCTGAAAGGCTAAACTCCTGATCTCTCCGTGAACCCTGAACATTTTCTCCCAAAAGCCCGAATACCCGGACAACCTGCCACCCTGGCCTGGCTGTCTCGTCGATGTAGTTGGGCTGCCAGGAGGGGTCGAACGTGGAGAGAAAACCTGGGAATTATGAGCTCTTTAATTAACCCTAAACCCATAAATCCGATCCCTCACGGTTTCCATGGCGCAGGAAAACCAGGCCGCGCCCTAGCCGTAGCCCAACCAAGAATAAGGTGGTAACGCCTTGAAAGAGGCTTCGGGGTGGGCTTTTGTGGAGTGTAGAGTTCTTAACGTTTCGTTCGTCCCTTCTTCAACTTGTGTGTCAGCTTCCCCGGTTCAGATGGCTTAGTTGAAGCTTTTCCGGATCCCACACGATTCTGGAATCGCAGGTCTATTGTTGACCTGACGAATGTCAATGTCCCTGTATGATGACCTTATTTTGTGTGTCTACAACCCTGATGCCACGCCGAACGTCATATCTGCCCAAGCCAGCCTAAACCCTACGGAGCGGTAGGCCAACAAACCACTGAACACCGCCAAGCACAGAACACCAAACACGAATCCCTTCAGACAGCAGTCCACCAAAACTATGCAGTCTAAACCCAAAGCCCCAAGCCCCAAAACCCCAAAAGCTAATCCAATCCCTTCCGCAAATCCCTTGAACAGAAGCCCTGACGAAACCACCCAAAAAACAGGCAAATTTAGGCGGGAAGCCGAAGACGTTCAGGTCAACAGTTATGCCGAGCAAACTCAGATTGTCGGTGTTCATGACCCCGTGGGCGAAGCCAACCTAACGGCCGCTGCGTTGCGAAAACCGAAACAAAAAGTCACGAAGGGCTCGCGATAACTTATAACGAGGCATATAAGCTATTCCGCGAACCCTGACCAGTAAACCCTCTTACTGCTTCTCTCTCATCAACCTATCCATTTTGTGTATTCATAGTTCACTTTCTATTATGCTCCAAAACCCTATTTCTATTTTAATGTTCGAGGCTCCCGTTATAAGTCTTCTATCATCTGTAACTCAAGCCCTATCTGATTTAACGCTGACAAAGTCAAGCTTTATAACAACCCTTGTTGTAACCCTCATAGAACCCTGAAGAGAAACCAGGCCCCTAACGCCTGAACCACTCTAGAACCCTTAATTAGGTTCCGTTTAAAGAACCCCCTAAACCCTAAACCCTAAACCAGGAACCCTACTCTACTTGTTACGGTATCTTGAATCACATTGGGTTTCGTGCTTCGCGGTTCAGGTTGGCATCCTGTCGGGTGGTGGCTGAGTTTTGGTTTTGAGGGTTTGGGGTTCAGGATGTTCGGCTTCGGTTTTTGATGTTCTATTTAGGGTGTAAGGTTTAGTTTAGGGTTAGGATTTAGGGTTTATTAAACAGGGTTTTGGAATCAGGGCTCGAGGGACAGGCTTTTGGTGTTTGAGTTTGGGTTTAGCAGCTTCGGGTTTATATAGTTTAATACTCCCGAATCCGGCATTCCAAAGATGTAAAATCACAAGCCAGTCGACGCCCAGATGCTCCAATACAGAAGCCAGCCAGCAGGCAGGCACTTGTGTGGACAAGCACTGACTGACATGTCAAAGAAAAAAGGAGCAGAGAGAGAGATAGACAAAGAGACAGGGAGAAACAGAAAGAACGAGAGAGAGAGGGAGAGCTGGAGCGGGAAGGAGCAAAACCAATAACCCAAACCAAGTGACCTATATAACGCGCAAAGCCGATGGCACGTAATCTCATTCTATCAAAAGTCCCGAAGCCGCCATCCACGCTGCCAGCAGCGCGGCGGTGCGCTCGGTCACCCGACTCAGGAGGCAGCGGAGAAGAGCCTCCCCTAGGTGCTGGGTATCGAGAGCTCATGGGGATTTAGGGTTTAGGGTTTTGGGTGTGGAAGGTTGGGACTTCCCTTCTTGTGGGGAATTAGGGCTTACCAGGGTTCTGGGATGCTTTGAGTATGTAAGGCTAGGGCTTGCCCTCTGCAGTGGGCATCGTGGGGCTTCAGGAGTTTAGGATTTGGATTGTTGGATGTGGGGTATAATGGGTCTTTTATAGGGTATATAATACAACACATATAGCATTCATGCATGCAACACTTTATAGGGTTAGGTTCCTTCGACACCTCCACTCCGACAAGCTTTATGCCTTTGGTCTTATGGGTTATGAGACTTCTTTACCTGAAGGGTTTAGGGTTCCGGGTTCCCGGGTATTCCGTCTATCCGCCCAGGGGACACACCGCAAGCTACACCCTCGGGCTCTGACGTGGCAGAGCATCCGCTTTTGCAGCGCAGCTCGCCTTGCAGTGCACGGGGCCTCAGCCCTGAAGCGAAAAAGCCTATACCCTAACCCTAAGGGTCCATGTCTCCAAATAGTATATACTTTGGCCCTAAAGTACCTATATAGGGACTACTTTAAGGCCAAAGTATATAGTATTTGGAGACATGGACCCTTAGGGTAAACCCCAAGCCACAAAACTTGAAAGGTCTTACCAGGTGCGGCACAGGTTTATGGGAGTTCCGGGAGATTTAGTTGGGTTTTACAGGACCCTCAAATTCAATCTGCCTAGAATAGGCAGTCACTCTTTAGATCGCCGGTTGCAACATGTACAGACGGGATCTTCCATGATGATTCGGGGCGGAAAATCTGCACGCAACTGCAGAGGACCTCTCACTGAAGATGAGGATTTACCCTAAACCCTAAACTACCATTCTGGGGCTTACGTCGTTCAGGCTTCATAGCTGGAAATCCTTCAAGGGTTCAAGGTCCTTTGATGGGATTTAAGCCTGGTGCCCTGCAGATTATCGAAATATCTTGGGTCTTGGGTAACCGAGGCACCCTAAACCCTAAAACCCTAAATCCTAAATCCTAAACCCTGAATCCTAAACCCTAAATCCTAAACCCTAAACCCTAAATCCTAAACCCTAAACCCTGAACATAAGGGACCCTGCAGTTCTAAGGACCACGTACCAGACCTCACTTGCCCGCAAGCGAGGTTACCGATCCTGCCCAGAGACTCCACCAGTATCCCTTAATTAAAGAATATACTTTAAATTCTAGTAGGATCCCAAATATGATTTAAGGTATATTCCTAATAATCAAGGGCTGTTGGAGTCTCCGGGTGGTTAGGGTTCAGGGTTTCGGGTTTAGGGTTATACTGAGTTATACTTGCCTGTACTAGCATGCCTGGGCCCTTGGGGACCTCCCTTTTCAGGCTTCCTCACTATGATTTCCTTACATAGTCCTTAAAAAGGCAGGTTCTTTGAGGTCTAGGTATACTTTGGTAATAATAGCAACAACAGTAATAACAAAAATAATAATAACAATAATAATAATAATAATGATAATGATAATAATAAAATACATACATATATATATATATATACGTATTTACGTATACGTATACATATATGTTATACATATATTAGCTCCTTTGAGGCCAAGGTTTAGATTGAGGCACATGGGAGGGATGGCGCACAACCCAGTAACCCATGATTTAGGGAACCGGAGCCCATGGCAGGGCGGGTTTAGCGCATCGCAATAATGATGGGATACCATTAACAGGAGCGTATAAGGAAAAGGCGCAAGACTTTACCCCACCCAAAGGGTGGATCAGTACATGGAGGACCCCAATACAGACCCTAATCGTAGGGTCCTGACTTGAAGGGCCCTGAAAACAAACGCCATTTACTCGCAAGACATCGTCGCAACGCTAACTCGGTGTCTTGGGCTTTCAAGACCACTGGGTCGCGGGTTTAGGGTTCCCTAAGGGTCCATGTACCCAAATAGTAGAACATTGGCCTTAATGTAGTACCTATTTGGGTACTTTAGGGCTTATGTTCNNTATTTGGGTACATGGACCCTTACTTAGGGGTTGAGAGAATCGGTTTGGAGGGCAAAGCCTTGAACGGCAGGCAGAGCCCTCAAAAGTAATTACCTTAATCCCTCTATCTTAAGAACCCCAAACCTACTTTTTTGTAGGGTCCCTATAAATCCCATATTAGGGTTTATAATAAGAACCTACAAAAAAGTGGCTTTGGGGTTCTTAAGGTATATACCCTAAACCCTAAGTTAAAGTGCCAACTGCAAACGCCAAAGCAACCCTAAAACCCAAACTCCACGAAAAGCCTCTGGGAGCTTGCCATAGAAGCAACGTGCGCGCAACTCCGCAGGCACCGCAACGGGACTGCGCGATTTTGTTTTGTACGGAGCTGGAGTTTAGATTAGGACTGTACAGAATACTCTTGACAAACAATGAAGTCTCCATTAGGTGCATTCGAGGGCCTGGGGTTTTAAGTAGGCCAGACAACGATCTAGAATGAGGCTTTAGGCGGTCAGTCTTGGGGTTCTGGTGTGACAGAAGTGTGTGGCGTCTACCAATAGGCAAAAAGCAAGATAGTCACAACCAGTTCTTACCCTGAGCGATTCAGAACCTGTGTGTCGACGGTGTAGGGGCTTATACTACCAAGACTTGGGACTGTAGAGCATCTCTATTTGAAAGACCCGAAGGTTACCGTATGTTAAGAGTTGCGACGTATGCTTGATCTTGCTCTCATGCAAACCATTCACCAGCACCTGAGACGCAAAGAGTCCCAAAGCCCTACGACCCTAAACACTTCTTGCAACAGGCTTTCCACTTCGCCCGGAGTCTAACCCGTAAAACCTAAACCCTAAAACCCTGAAGTCTAAACTCTAAAACGCTAAGCAGTCACCTGCCTCGGCGGGTGCGGCTTCAGAGTGGGCCCCCACCGCAAAATGCAGAAAACCCCACAAAACTTAAGACCTGACACTGTTTTTTTTTTACCGGCTTAGGGTTTACGGACACTGGTTTAGAGTTGAGGGTGTCGGGCTGAGTGGATTAGGTTTAGGGTTCTAAGCCTGAAGCCCGAAACCCTAAACCGCTGCCCCTAAACTTCAAGGCTCCACAAGGTCAAAGGCAAACCCAGAAAGTCGGACCCCTACCAGGCAGTACGTAAGCCCCTTTACATCATAACGCACCTTTGCTGATAACTAAAAACTTAGGGGATTCCAGAAATCGAACCGGGCTTTGGGGTATACTTTAGGATCGTATTATTAAGGCGCACAATGGAATAGCATTGGTAATTTTATCAAACGAATCACAACAAGCCAATCAAAACCAGGCAACGCGGGTAAAACGAAGCTCAAGGATTCTTTGCCCACAAGACTCGGAAGTATCACAGCACCCGTGGGCCCTAGTTAAACCCTAAACAAGCTAAACCCTTCGGGCCCTAGACCCTCTAATACGCCAAAACCCTACACCCTGCAATACCCGAAGCATTCAAGCGCTATAGAAGGCCCGAAAAAGCCCAGGGGCAGTCGGTCAAGGTAGGCGGTTGATGCGTCCTCGGAACCCACAGAGCCCACTTTACCTCTCAAGTACTTTGACGGCATAGAGTTTAGGGTAAGACAGGCACCTCAATAAACAACAATGTAGGATAAACAAATGCAGTTTTGTTTAAGAAGGAACCGTAGGTAACAGGGTTACTTAGAATTCCGACCCCCCCACAGCGGGAAGGGGCCTCTGCGTTGAAGGCTCTTGGCTACTCAAAGGTTTCCTTTTCTTGGGGCCACTACAGGGATTTGAGAGTGACGGGAACTGGTTTAGGGATGTTTTTGGGGCTCTAGGCTAGATTTCAGATCATGAGCTGTCTTAAGCACCCCTAGAACCATAGCGAGTGTAATATGTTAGCAATCCCTTGGAGTTGTATCATAATTCAAACGACTACAGTAACAATCCTCCAGAACACTATCCTGAATACTAAACCCTGACACCTAAGGTAGGTTTGTAGGTTCTTCGCGGCTCGGGTGCTCGACCTCTGAATGTATCCATCTTAGGCGTAAGGTCGAGGCCGGATAGGCTTTGAAATAAAGCAGAGGGTTATAGAGTCTTACTAAATACTGACAGTAATACTCGTAACAATAACCGTAATAGCAACAAAAGTATCAACTAATTCACAATAGAAATAATAAGAACCTTCTTGAGTAAAAACAGTACCAAATGGTGAGAGATCCTACCTGGGGCGTCCATTAAGACGCCTCTTTGCCCTCTCAAAATCTTCGACATTGAGAATGCTGCGGTTGGGTATTTGGGGTTTAGGGATGCAGCTTCAGTCTGCATCAAAATGCCACACCCTCAAAGACTCACGGCGGCGACCGGTACGGAGACTGACCACCTGAATTCCGACTGGGCCGACCTCGTGCACTGGAACCCCTGCTCCAAACACTAAACCCAAGAGGCCCACACCAAGAAACCTCAAAACCCCAATGCCCTAGAAGCCCAAACCGTGAACCTGTTCTACGAGCCCAGGTATAGATCCTAGCAACCCCTGTGCACTGACCCAAAATTTGCACTGGCTACTCAGCGGCCTTTATATTAAGAACCGAGTTTTCCTGTATTCCAGTATGCTTGCAATGTGAAAAAAGAACCCTCAGAGCTAATTCTGGTAAAAAACATGCATAGGCCTCTATACTACTCGTTCCTATCCCGCCCAAATCGCGGTCGCCAGGAGGAAGCCTCCCACACAAAGCTAGCTAGGTTTAGGATTTCAGGGATTAGGGGTTTAGGATTGAGGGTTATCCGTTGGGATCAACCTCGGGTCCAAGGTGGGTTGGATGAGTACTCTGATGTTCGACACCTCACTCCCTAAACCCTAAACCCTATAAACCCCAAACCCCTAAAGGATACTATAATAATAAGGTTTTTTGGGGTCCCTCTGTGGGGAAAACCTCTAGCGGAAAGGTCCATGGATAGCTTCATCCTTTAGTCCTCTCCCCGACAAGCTCCAGCAAAGCACCTTCGATGTTTTTTGTTTTTACTTTTGATGTAGCATGAGCTATCATGGCCGATTCTTGCCAAGAGGCATCGTGAGCCTCCATGCGCGCGATGGCTGCCAGCGCGTGTCGTGCGACTGTCTCCACGCCGGAGATGCCCTGACCTGAGGCAAAACGATGAATGCTTTTGGCTTCAGTGTTTAGGGTAAACATGAAGACGACCGTGTTGATTCTGAGAATGATGACACTGATGATGGAGATGCAGATGATGATGATGATGATGATGATGATGTTGGTGATGGAGATGCAGATGATGATGATGATGATGATGATGATGGTGACGATGAAGATGAAGATGAAGACGAAGATGAAAATGAAGATGAATATTATTATGCTGATGATGGTGATGGTAACGATGGGTGTGTTGCCGATTCCATGACAAAGGTGGCTGTTGATGATGTGAACCTCATCGCCTTCACAATGATCCTTTTCGCTCCACCTGCATCGGAAAACATCAAGTTCGTGAGCTCGAAGACCGAACCTGCACGAATAGATCCGGCTCGATAAGGCTATTCCTATGATCCTTCAGCAGTAAACAACTAGAAATATCAGACCAACAACTGGGATAGCGCGGTCCCTAGACAAGTTGGCAACCTACAAACTAACTAGAGTATGACCCAAAACCCCTTGATCCTAAACCCCTAAACCCTAAAACCCTAGACCTTAAGCCGTCCACCATCAGAAGTCCTAAACCGTCTCTCCAGTCCAAAAGGCGCTTGGCAGCCAGCTGCAAAGAGCCGAAACGCAGGAAGCCTCGGTTTGAAGGACTTAGGGATTTAGGGATTTAGGGGTTTAGGGTTTAGGGGGTTTAGGGCTTAGGGGTTTAGAGTTTAGGGGGGTTTTGGGTTTAGGGGGTTTAGGGACTTAGGGGATTTAGGGGTTTAGGGGGGGGGGTTAGGGTTTAGGGTTTGGGATTTGGGGGTTTAGAGTTTAGGGGTTTAGGGGTAAGGGCCCTAATAATTCAGCAGGGTTTGGGTGCCCTCACTAATTTATAGTATAATTGTAATCAGGAGCCCTAAAAAAAGTGGCATGTATTTCAGCGTCCAGATTAATTAACAGGTAGCTACAACGGTTCTTTAAGTTGAACTATAAGACTGTAAGGGTTGTATAAGCGTACGGGTTTAAGGGATCGGGGGCTGAGGGACTTTATAAAGTTTCGGGTTAAGGGCTTTCGTGTTTTAGGCGTTCAGGAATGGTTTCAGAGTTTTTTGTTTGGAGACGGTGGTTTCTGGTCTAGGTTTCTAGGCTTTCTGGGTTAAGATTTCGGGTTTCGGGCTTTGCATGCGATTTAGTTTAGGGTTTAGGGCATGATTTGGGGCTGGGGTGTTTTGGGTTTTGGGGGCTCCCTTGTTAAGGCTCCTGTAAGGACTCTCTGTAAGGGATATGCTGAACCCCGGAAAGTTGGAACATGGTCTAAGGATGATTTGTGCTAGGATTATCTATCATTTTCCTTAAGGCCAGCAGGATAACCATGTTCCAACTTTCTAGCTTCTAATTTATAGGGTTCACGGCTTACGGCTTTATTAGGGGGTTTCCGGATTGGGGACGTGTCGGGATAACGGGTATGCACAGGGTAAGTTTGGGCGGCGCTGAATATGGACTGCGGGCCTTAGCTTTAGGTTGCTTTAGGTAGCTTTAGGTTTCTAAGGTTTCTTGATCCGAGGGCTGGTGCAAGGTCTAGTGTTATAGGATATAGAGCATGGGGCTTATAGAGGGGCTTCAAGAACATTACATATATATATATATACATGTATATTTACTTATTTACATACCCGTATACACATACATGCATCATACATATATATACATATATATATATATACATATATGCACAAACGCAGAAGCCGGTATCTTACACACCTCAAGCCCAGCCCAGGGCTGCCACCGATTGGCGGCAGGATGTCTATAACTTATGAGCTTCGAGTTGTTCCCCAAGAGGTTTCGGTGGATGTTCTTTAGCATTTTAGAGACCGCTCCTCCTTTAGTGAGCGAATATGAGAAATACTGTTTAATCAAGCTATTCTGGGAGCTCGTCGCAGGAAAAAACTTAGGATGGTATCACGACAGGTAGCTTGGCATCATCCGAACCGTGATGCCGGGCTTCTTGAATCCAGCCTGTGGCTTACGATATCGAGCAATTTACGAATGTACAACCAGAACATGAAACAGGAAAGTTGTTGACTTGAAAATCGAAACGGAGAGTATCTCGGGCTCCCTCATCTGCTGACAAGTTCTAGGCAAAGGCAAGGTATCTACTTGGAAGCTCGTTGGACTTAGTAAGTACAGCTACAAGCACCCCAAGCACCTCCACTGGAATTCTAACTGATTCTGATTTTGAGTGTAGCTACCTTACTTATAACCCTAGTTACGAAGTCCCTTGGCCTGGCAGCTTGCAAAGACACTTGATCGTCCTAGCTGAAAGACAGAAGCTCTCGCCGCTGCTTATTTAGAGCAAAACTTCACGGCAGAGTAAATCTACTACAGACATAGGTATACACGGGACCACAAAGCAATCCAACTACTGAATGTCGAGGCTCCTGCGTTGCCCTTACTTGTCGTGCATGCGGATGATAGTAACGAGAGCTTCTCAAATCTTGCGGCCTCTCCGGTGTACCATTCGTCACGAATGACGCGATCCTTTCCAGCAATTGAGCCCTCTTCCAAAGTGTCTTTCTATGGTTTTCAGGAGGTTTTGGGCTAGCAGCACAAGTTGTGGGTTTAGCTTGGGCTACTGTCATCCGTGAGATCAATGCGATCTCCGGCAGATCTTGCAGGAGATCCACCGTAAGCCGCGACCAGCTATTACAAGCAGATCATGTTCTTCGGCAGTGCAGCACGGCCTCTAAAACATACTGTGCCCTCAACCCGCTTGTTTAGAACCTGTGCCACAAACCTGAAGCTTTCACCCTAAACCCTAAGCCCAAACCTCGCAACAACAGCCGAGGTTGAGAACATGCCTCAACACTAAACTGACATAATTTCGACAGCAGGACACGGTTGGGGGCCATGCTTATTATTATTATTATTATTATTATATTATTATTATTATTATATTATATATATATATACACACACACATTTTTTGGGGAGGGGGGTCATCCTGCTGTACAGGTTATGCTTAGGGCTTAGAGTTTAGGATTTGAGGGCTTAGGGTTTATAGAGTTTAGGATTGAGGGTGTGAGCAAGTGCTTAGGCTGGTACATGAAGCGGCATCGGGGCTTCGATTCAAAGTGGATCGTGCAGGCAAGGATCAGGGTGTAGGGATTACCAACCACCCACTCAAGTAGGTGTTGGAGCCTACATATTTTCAAAGTTTTAGGCTTATGTGTTTTCCGGCGGTAAAGTGGCAATTCTATAACAATGCGCACAAGGGGCCAGAAGAACAGACGGTTCAAACGTACTGGAGCATGCTAGTACTGTGCATCAACATGTGGTACATGCGCCGTAAAGCACAACAAAGCAATAACAGCCACAACGTCCTGATAGCAGCAACGGGGAAGGTGCCAAAGCTTGAGAACATCGGAATTTGCGAGAATCAGTGGCGACAGTAGGGTACCCGTAGGCCCCATAGTTGTTCCTTTTTGGGGCTCATATTTAAAATCCGATAAGGTAACCCCAAAAAGGAACTACTATGGGGACTATGGGTAGACGCTTCGTGGTAGGATCCTGATCATGGGAACCTTTGCACAAGGGATCCCCCCATCGCCATACACACACACACACACACCCGGAAATGAAACAGGTCTGTGATACCAGATGTGCCTAAGTACGGAGACTCCAAAACTCTTTGCGAAGCATCATGCCGTAAATCAGATTAGACACTCTCCATAGTCGACTGTGTCATCCTAAAATCGAGGGGTTGTGGACTGATTGGGCGCCGCACACCCAGCCTTTCCAAAACCCTTGTAGAACGCTTGCAGCAACACCAGAAAATTTTGCAGACTCTACAAGAAGCATATATAATGTTTAGAGTTTCGGGTTTCGCGTTTCGGGTTTAGGGGTGCGTTTGGTGTTAGAGCGAGTCCTCCTCGAAGTCGCTTCCGAGCACGGCCACAGTACTCGCCACCTTTGCATTGGGCTTATACGGTCTATTTTACTTCTGTTTGAAACCCTAACACCAAGCCTCCAACGGTCCGAATTCCTGCTAAATCCTGCACCCCTAAACCCTAAAACTCAGAACCCAAAGCCTCCCTGACTCTCAGCCCCTGGCTACCCCCAAACCCCGAAGCCTTGTTTGTTCTACATGATTTGTGGCATGCACCCGTTCGGGATTCTCGGGTTTTCGAGAGCGCCGAAGCATCATCGTCGAACAACTAAGTAAGCCTAAAACTTGGCTTCATTCCGTTCCCCCTTTTTACTCAGGCTTGCACCCTAAACGGGCTTGATCTGATTTCCCAAACCTCACCCAGGCTTGGTGCTGATCCAACCGGCTTAGGGCTTGATTTGAGCCTAGAGAGGCTGAAGGCACAAAGTAAACCTCAAGTTTCGAGCCGGTAACCGTAAAGCCTATAAGGGGTTTAGGGCCTAAACCCTAAACCCTAAACCGTCGAACCCTAATGGAGCTGCGCCGTGGTTGAAATGGGGCCTTCACAGCCGCCTGCTAGACCCGCAGACGCGCTTCACGAAGCACAGGGCATCAAGTACCACGGTTTGGTCTGTTCAGGGTTTCAGGTTTCGGCACTCACACCCAGACAAGCCAGGCGAGGTTCTTGGTGCTAAGTTGGTTGTAGGTTTGAGAAAAATGAGGCTTCCGCCAGTTTCCGCATTTGGAAGACAAGGGCGTTGGTCTCCCATGGGCCAACTTCGCTGCGACACCTAATAAGATATCGGGGCCTCAGCAATTTCAACCGGGTGTTTGAAACATGGCATACTTCTGCAGGGAGTATAAGGGTATACGATTGCTAATTTCTGGTCATTCAGTCGGACCCTTATGGTACACGTGTACTAGTAGTTGCATTAGCAGCAGTAGCTCTGTTACTCTATAGTGGTCAGTTTAGCTTTGCAGGAACGGCATCATGACCCCCCAAGGCCCCCCCCATTCCAGCCCTAAACCCTCAAGCCCTTGCGGCTTTTACTCCCAGAAGCGAAGCGAAGCCCGAAGACGAGAACACGAAGCACACAATAATGCTCCAACTCTTGTACAGCGAAGCTATTGCGAGGGCTGCTGCCAGGGTTATTATTAAGTCTATGAAGTCTTAGTGTGGTGTTGCATATTGTGATGTTGTTCTTAGTCTTTGACAAAGCAGGCTGTGCTCTAAAGGTGTAACCTCCTGTTGCTTCTGTTGATGCGCCTATCAAAGTACCTCAAGGTTACTCCAGGTAAATCCGAGAACGGATTAGTTCAGACAACAACCCTGAAGACGGAAACTTAACAATCCCTGAACCCTAAACCACATACCCCAAAGCTTGCGATTGCGGGCTTAGCCCTGCATACACACTCTTTCAACTGTTTCCACTGGAGGCGAGCTTCCGGCACGCCGGATGCTTCAAGGAAGATCGGCCTGGGAAGGGTGCTCTATCACAAGGGCCTCAGCAGCTAGAATACGCTCCCTGCAAAAGGGTGCGGTTAGGGTACTGCCGTACAAGGTTTCTTACCAGGGTCTAGTCGAGAAGGAAGTAGCATTTGGAAGAAGGCTTCGGGGTCGAAACTAGTAACCCTGTGTCCGTCTATAGGGTTTGGGGCGTAAAGTTACCCTCGGGATCCATGTACACTTACATATGTATTATACGCCTACGCTTTGGCCTTATAGTACCCGAAGAGCTCGAAGTATAAGAAGCCCGTTCGATGTTAAATCCAACCTATCAACCCCAAAACCCTAAACGGCCCTAAACCCTTAACCCTAAACCCCCTTACAAACTTAACCATTGATGGACATACTATAGGGGCCTTAATAATTAGAATAGGGTTTTGGGGCCCATGTTACTAAAACTTTTTTAAGGAGCCCCCAAAATAATATAGGCAATTATTGAGGCCCTATGTTACATGGACCCTCAGGGTTGAGGATCCGTTACTCCACCGCGGCCAGGCATCGCCAAGAACTCCCGCACCGCGTTGTCCAGGGTCGCGCGGCCATCCCCGCCCCGACTATACCTTGCGGCCCCGTTTAGGAAGGACAGAAACAGATCCTTCTTGTGGGCTGGTTTAGGGTTTAGGGTTTAGGGTTTAGGGCTCCCTTCAATAATTATTCTTAAAAAAATATAAGAAAACCCAAATATTGACCAAGACACGGCGTTTTGCCAGCACCTGCTCTGGGCGTATACAGTAGCATAGGCGAGAACCCTGAACCCACACCCCTAAACCCTAAACCACATTGGCCAGAACCCCCCAGGACTAATATGGGGGCCCACATAAGTACCTATACTATTCTGGGGGTTCCATATTATAAATATGGTATAATATGCCCCGATCTCTATTCTAAATAGTACGGCCCCTACATCACTTACCCTACTGCTGCGACCTTGCCTCGTCACCCGGGAGCTCCAGGTTCAGGGTTCAGGGGCTCCCTCTGCTATCCTAAGCCCTACTGGGACCCCAAGAGACCTACGTCAGGGTTTAGGGTTTAGGGCTGAGGGTTTCCAGGGCTCCTTATAATGAGTCCTTAACCCTTTTTGAACGAGAGTCCTTAACCCTACACCCTAAACCCTCTTCTAGGTTCCCCAGTAGCCCCTAAAGAATAATTAAGGGTATCCTTTTTCCTACTATTTGGTTTTATGAAGGGAACCCAGAAAGAAAAAGGGCAAAAGGGTACTAGTGGGGAACCCTAACCCTAAACCCTAAACCCCTAAACCCTAAACCCCCAAACCCCTAAAACCTGAACCCTAAATCCTAAACCCCTAAGCCCCTAAACCCCTGAACCCGTCTTTAGGGTCCATGTACACCGTGCTGATCCGTCTCCGGGGCCTTTCAGCGCCAACTCCCAGGGCCACCACCGGGGGCTTTCCTGCAATCACAGAAAACCGGATTTAGGGATTTAGGGATCTAGGGCTTAGGGTTTAAGGTAGGGTTTAGGGTTCGGGGTTTAAGGAGTTAGGGGTTTAGGGTTGGGGTTTAGGGTTTATAAGGGCTTAAGGGTTCAGGGTTT